AAGGGCTGGGGGGGGAGAGGGACCCCCAAGCCCGGAGAGCAGAGGGCAGCGAGAGAGAGGGGAAGAGGCGCACAAAGTGTCCCGCCAGCGAGGAGGAGAAGTCCGCTCCCGGGGCTGGGGTGCAGGGGAGAAGAGAGGGAGGTGGGGAGGGCAGTTTGTTTTTGTGGTCCTTTTGGCTCTAGCACCGCGTGAAAGAGGAAGGTGGGAAGGAGGAGGTTGGAAGGACTTCGGTTCTCTCTGGCGAGCACATTGATCAAAGATTGAGAGGGGGAAATGACAGAGAGAAAATGAGCTGGGAAAAAAAAAAGTGCTGGCTTGCTGCTGCCGCTTGCTGCTCGCTCGCTTGCTCTCTGGACGAGTTGTTGTTGTCACACGGTGCAGAGGGGAGGAGCTCCGGCAACTTGAAATACCCTTTGAAGCAGCAAAAGCCTCACTCACTAGTATTAACCCAAATTATCCAACCAGCAACCCGGAGCAAAGAATCAGAGAGAGAGAGAGAGCCCTCTTCCTCCTCCTCCTCCTCTTCATAAACCGTTAGATTACATGTTTCATATTTCATCTCATCAGAGACGAGATGCAATTTTCCAAGCCCTTCCAAACAATCGCTTGTCAACACCATTTAAAAAAAAATGTATATAAAGAACATTTCAAGCCTTTCTTTAAAAAAAGAGAGAGAGAGAGAGAGAGATTAAATTGCGTCTATTTCAGGGCATGAAAAGTGGGGGGGGGGGGGGGATGCAGAGGAAACTTTGCTTGGTCACCCATCTCCCACCGGGTGGGAGAGGAGCAGATCCACTTGCAAACAAAGTCCGGATCGTGTGTTGGTCTGATTTAGTTAGTTGTGCGTGCATGTCTTTCTTTTTCTTTGAGATAGTTAGTTAGTTACGTGTGCATGTATTTATTTTTCTTTGGTTTAGGTAGTGAGTTATGTGTGCATTTATCTATTTTTCTTTGGTTGAGTTAGTTTTGCGCACATTTCTGTATTTATTATTGTTTATTTATTTATCAACTGTTATTTATTTATTTATTTTGAGCCCCCAGGCAACAAACAATGCCAAATTGGCAGGGCTGGGCGTTTAATAGCAAGAGCCGGCCTCGTTTTATCGCCAGATCTCTTTGTTTGTGCGGACAAGTTGTAATTGCCTGGAGCGCCAAGCACTCCAGAAGAAAAAGCCCAACTCAAGCGGCTCCCGAGGACTTCCTGGCGAGACCGGGCAGTGGCTGAGCAAAGCGCGCCGGGCACCGTGCGGGGCTAAAGCGAGCCGGTGCCTAGCTGGGATGGGGCAAGGGCACGCTCGCACCTTTTGCCTCCGGGAACTTTTTTGATCACGGGTGTTTCTCACTTTGTGCTTGCGTCTTTCGAGTGCATAAAAGCCCATTCCCATTCTCGCATGCTTTTTGTTTTCTCATCCATATATATATAGCTCTGCATGTTTGGCTAAAATGGGGCAGCTGCGTTCATTAGAGCAAGGCTGAAGGAACTTGCCATGTTAGAGAGCTGCAGCTGAGTGCTTACTCCCACCCTGTTGTGTCTAGGTATTGCAGCGGCCGGTGAACAACAGGTGACTCTATAGCACGGATCCAACTTTGATCTTTGATACTCACCAGGTATCAGTGTACAATTAGCTCTTGCGCTTGCTCACACATGCGCAGTCGCTAAATTGACAGGCTGTGCAATCCGGCACACATTTGAATATCCAGGCCCCATTTATGTCCTAATACCTAACCACGATGAGGTTTAAGGGTGGAGGTTTAGCTTGAGCTCGGAAATTTCCCTTTTTGATTGGAAGTTTGGCAGTGTTGGGGAGGGGGGTTCCCTCTCCGTTTATTTTGATGACCTTTCTGTGTTTAAAATAACCTTTGATAGAAATGCAACGTTAGACTGGGCATATAAGCATTTGAGCTTCATATAGCTGCATATAAAGCTTAGATCGTCATATAAAGCTTAGATCTGGAATGTACTCTCCAAATTATAACAACTTGTCCCTCAGCCTGTTTCAGAAAAAGTGTACTATTTATATGAGACATGATTCATGGGACTGCACATCTAGATGTGTGATAAGAATCTTAATTAAAGTAATTCTGTACATGGGAAATTTCCACTTTTTTCAGATTATCTCAAGCTATTCGCTTGCTCTTGCAACCTGCTTCCTCACCACGTTAGATTGTTTTCAATCAAATGTTTTGAATTTTTAGTACCAATATCTCCCATTAGCGAATCTGTCATTTCCTCCAAAAACTCAATTGCACTAAAATGAGCAAAAGAACTTTTTCTTAAAAAAAAAAAAAAGAAAGAAAAACAAGTGATTATCATATCAATGCTGGCACCTTGTCTACTAACACTGGCACGGAGCAGTTCTTTTTAAATAGCAAAGCTAAGACAAAATCAACAGAAAATAAAACAGGGTGGAAGAAAAACTTTAAATACCTCGACAATTGCAAAAAAAGGTATCTTTTTTTTAATCATTTTCACTTGCAAAAGACTTACTGCCCAGATTTATTGTCTTTTATTTCTCTGCTTCAGCTCGTCCTTCTGCATTGCACTCTGTCCTGCACACGACATATATTCATAAAACATACACTTGAGAAATTTCATGCAGAACCAAACATGTGTGGAGTCGCCATTCATTTCAAATTTCAAATTTCAAATGAACTCGGGATTTCAAAAATAACCCAAACCTGCCAGATCCTGGGTTCTTTCTCTACCCTACAATATGCTCCACGAGTGTCCTTTTGGTTTTCTTCTGTGTGTTTTCATGGATCCGTAATCCGTCTGTTGCCAAACAGCTTAAAGAAAATGTAGTTTGAAAGGTTTTACTACCACAGGTTTAGGTTAACGGTGATCGTTTCAGGAAACAATGGGATTAGACACCGAGAAAGAAAGAGATGTTTGAAAGGTTCAAGGATCTTCAAAGCTTTTTGTCTGGTCGGATTGTAACAAACTCTAAGAATTGTAGCAAACTCCTGGATGTATTTTCACAGACATACATACCTCCACTTCAACAAATTAGGACACTGCTCTCTTCCTCTTTTCAAACTTTTTTTCTTCCACGGTGCATTTTATTACTCATTGGCCCTTTCAAGTCATGATATTGTTACACGCTTCCTTTATTTTTCCCAGAATTTATATCAGCAAAACTCAAATTACTGTAACTGATATTTGAAAATTCTCCCTGTGTCAAGTGAAGACTTATGATGCTGAAATCAATAAGCCTGTTTAAAATTCAAAGACCTGCAAATCATTCTGTTTGTCCTTTGATAGGGCCTGGGCTGATTAAAATGCGACCAAGAAAGCTTAATTGCTGCACTAATTAAGAAGTCTTTAATTTCTTTCCTGGAATATTGTTTGAAGCAGAGCTTCTCTTCTACTCACATAACTGTTCAGGGCAGGTATTCTCCTCTTTTCCCTTTGACCATTTCAGGGAATATACTAAAGCACTAAGATGAATAGGTAGTTATGATTATTTATTACTTTAAAAAAAAACCCACCTGCTACGGAGCTCACTGTTTTATTAAAGCCTAGTTTTGAGGGCAATTCTAAGGCATAAAAAGGAGTTAGAAAATGCATCGTAGCTGTTACCTCTTAAATACCTGACTGACGGGGTCAGTCCCCCTCCCTCCTGCCTTAGTTGTTATTGATGTATAAATATTTAAATATAGCCGGGCGAACAGAAAATACTTTCTCCCCGGACTCTGTGTAAAACGGATTGGGATGAAAGGGGTGGGGGCTGTGGGACAGGATGGTTTTTATGGCTGGGTGTGTATCGCAACATGCAGTTCATGAACTATCTGCATTTGCTCTGACTTTTATTTCCTTGAGAAATGCACTTCTCTATTCCAGCTCGTCTTATCCTAGTCTATTGACCTATTTTGTTCACCGATTTCTCAAGTGGGGAAACTTGACTAAATGATTTCACAAAGCTTTCTGGGTGATCAATAGTCATTTTTTAGGTTTAATCATGCTGCATTATAATTCTGGCAAACGACTGCCGAGCAGAAGACTCCGCAAAAGCAAGAGGTTATCGACAAAGGGAAGGCAAGTTTGGTTTTACATCTTGCAGGTCTCGCATAGTTTGTTTCAGCAGCTACCTGTTATTTCGCGGGGAGCAGGCACAGAGGGACACGTCCCCTCCGTGGAGGGACATGCAGTGTTACAGAAATGCACCATAATGGGGTCCTTCCCCTCCCCCCCCCACGAAGATATTTACTAAACATTGAAATACTTATTGAAAATAATAATGTGTGCATTTGAGGTGGTTACAATAACAAGCAAATAGGAACTGCCGTGCTGGGATGTTTTATTTTTCGTGATTGTTGCATTATAGCCAAATTAGCATGGACTTTCCCCAGTACAAATACATCCTGGATTCCTTGCAATGACAGGACGAGTAGATAACATACTTAATAGATACAAAGGGAGATTTGCCATTCCGAGCACGACGTCACGCTAATTATGCTTCCTCTAATTGAAAGCAAGGTTTGGGGGACTCTGAAATTGCTTTTAGGACCTTTTTTTTAAAATAAGAAAATAATAAAAATAATGAAAGCGCGCCAAACGGGGATGGCAAACCTTTCAGGCTTTCGACATCTATTGGGAA